GTATATAATTATTACATAGCACATTGACATTAGAATTTTTCTAGTTTCTTTCCTGATGGGTTCTAACGTTCTCTGTGAGTATTCCTTTTAAAACTTTAGCTTGACTATGAATACAGTTATGGAGACTGATTCAAGTGTAAATCATTTACTTAATATAACTTTCTAAAATGTTCAGAAATTCTAATTAGCAATTGACCATTATACCTACATCTCAGTTCATTAGAATTATAGGGGTCATTATCTGCAGACAAGTCAGTCACTGTGTAGTCTTGGTGCATCTCAGGGAATTTGTCTCCTGTGTCTGATTCAAATTTGAAAACAAAACAAAACAATGGCATGATAAAAGGCTATCTTTTAGGTAAAGATTTTCTTTTTTCTTTTCCTTTTTTTTTTTTTTTAATTTTCTTGCCAGAAAATTACAATTCCTTGACTGTCATGTTTTGGCATCCACTGATTTGAGTTGGGGAACTTGCTAAACATTTCAGGTAAAAAAGAAAATTACTTTCTACCTCAAGGTTTCCAAGTTTCTGGCCGAAATCTAAAAAATATATCTCTTGTCTCTATCTCTGGGCAAAGGTGTTTTGCTAACATTTCTTCTCTTTCTTCCTGACCTTTTTCTTCATTGTTAACATACTCTATCCATCATTTCACCCCCTCTAGTCTTAGAGTATAAATCAAGATCTATAAAATTGTTCAATAAAAGAATTTAATTGCCCTAGAGGAAAAGGGGACTTTTCTCTCTTGAAATCCAGGGGGAAATGGGAAGTAATAAAGCTGATGTCAGGAATATTTAAAAAAAAAAAAATATATATATATACCCTTAAAAATTAATCATATGGATCTTTATTTTCCTTCAAAATTTAGTGGCCAAAATGATAAAAAAAAAAATATGGGCAGATTCAAAGTAAGTGAAATGCTATAATCAGACATGGTTGAGATTTGGCATTTTATATTTGTATCTTTTGGAAAGACTTCTTGTAAGACTCTCTGGTATTTTGGTGTATATCCAAGAGATATTATGATTTATATGTTCATCCATAATCATTCAAAAAGGAGCCAATATTGTCTCAAAAGCAAGCTTGGCTAGATTTTCTTACCAAGCCCATTTATGTACAGACATGAAAAGTTCAGATAGACCATCCAAATTAGGATGATCCATATCAGAATGAGACTCTCAAACTTTTTTCTGAAATGTTGATTTTCATTGTTTGTCCATTTTTATAGGCTTACAAAGTTAGTCTTTCTTTAATAGCTTTTGTCAAGTACAGGTTGTCTGCCTTAAAAACAGAACCAATAACATAACTTTTATAACAAAAGCAGCATGATATCTATATGTTGCATAATATATTTTCATTATGTTTTCATCACATGCAATGACTTTTATGTCTAGTTGAACACCGTTAGCATTGATATTTACACTTTTTTCTAATTAGGTAGAAATGTGTCAGTCATTATAGGGATGAATTTCAGGTAGAAAGCTAGTCTTTACAGGCCTTTATATGTCCTTTTTAGAAGGTGGAGGAGAGACAGTAAAGTATCCCCCAAACTGAGAAAGCATGGTGAAAACAGAAAATGAAGGAGACCACTCCATATAGTTCACACAGAATTTTATTCAGGGTAATTTACTGATGGGGGGATAGGGCAGGCAGTGATCCATGGCAGCGGCATAGTTATTCTCTGCAAAATCCAGACCTTAGTGCACAGATTATATAGAGGGGACACTCAGAAGGTCATTGTCATGAGATTCACATGCACCTCCAAGGACTTGCATGCCCCTAATTGACAGCTAACCTTTAAATAGATCTTGGGCATCACCTGTGCATCAGGAAGGGGAAAGACAATGTTATCTCTAACAGATTCATGGGAGGTCAAAATAAGCTTCCCCCAATCCCAGCCTCAGTGGGCATTTCTAAGGTATGTATATTAATCTCCAAGGGGGCCAGAACACGTAGCCCTAAGAGAGCTCACTGAACAAACATGAACACAATGGAGGGCCAAAGATAGAGTCTGTATTGTCTGCATTCCTACAGTCCTCTACAGTAACGAGATGAGCTGGCTTCTTGTCCTAGTTCTGACGTCACATCTATGTGACTTTGAGTAAGTCATTATCCTCCTTGAGCCATTGCTTCCTCCTAACTAAAAGGAGTTAATAATTTTGTCTCTTGCAGGATTATGAGGAGTAAATGGGGGTGCAGGATATAAGAAAGGGCGTGATAAAACAGATGTAAATGAAAGTAAGCACTGCATAGACCTTCAACCAGAGCATCCTGAAGGACCTCCAGGAAAAAATGAGCTGCTAGGAGGCACCCCTACATGGATGGCAAGATATTGTACAGCCAGTTATTTTGATTAAAAAGTGAAAAGCAGGGATCCTGCTGCAAAACTTCCCAAGAGATATTGCATTTATGTGAATGGTGGCTCTTGGAGCTGTAAAATATTCATGGTGTTTTCTTGGATAATGCCATCTACATACTCAGAATCAAGGATTCTTGGTTTTCTTACTGGGAGTGGGGCCACTGACAGAGCTTGGAAACTCTTCTAAACACATTTATTCAATTTTATCGTGTGTTACACACTATAAGCCAACAGCTGGTCTATAAACTTAGGCTGGTGAGAAAATAAATCAAACAACGGTTTTTTAAAAATTGTGGCATTTTTTAATTTAGTCGGGACAGAAACTTGTTTGAGATTATGAAGGAAGTCCAAAGACACTAACTTAATCTCTGCAGTTTTGTATCTTAAACATTTTGGCTATTAAATCTACCTAATCAAGACCTACTTCTTTCCAACCAAAGACCCTGAGTAGATGTTTGAGGCAAAGATGGAACTTAGAAAATGAGCTTTCTAAAATGTCGGTTAAGAAACTGATGGTTTGAAAATGTATCTCAAGTTCTATCTGTTGAACTAGAACCGTTTTCACCACCATGCTTTGTAATTTGGCTGAAGTATTTTTCTCAACAATTCACTAAAAACAATCACGATGGTTCAGTCAATTATTCATATTTTAGGAGTATTCGCCTAAAAAAAAATCTTTTTAGAAATTACTTCTACTTCATCCGAGATGAACAGCCAGGTGGCACCAGACACAGTAGACATAAGACGAGATGTTAATTCATCCACATCTTGAGGATGAATATTAATTATCTTGCTTGCAAAATAAGGAGAGGGAACTACACAATGTCTTAGTGTATTTGGAGATAAGGTTAATCAAAGTTTGAGCCTTTATGTGACCAGAGATGGCATACTTATGTCTCACAGATGGTCTGATAGACAAATGATTGAGACAGAATGAAACTGGTCACCTATGTTTCCTGGCCTTGAAGTAAATGCTTGAGGGAAATTGCTTACAAACTGTTGAGACTCAGATGTATTGGGTACCTCCAATGCATGTATCTTGTTATTCCCTCAAGAGTACCATTGATTGCTAGCTCTTTGGGAATAGTCTATGGATTTTCAAAATGTCATTGTAAATTTATAATAGATAGTGAACCATATAGGATTACTCTAAATTAGTATGGTTAAGCTTGTGTTTATACAGGGCAGAAAAACATCAAAAGGACACATAATTTGTTTATGGTTATCCACCCAGGACAGCATTTCTGGATCCTACCTTGCCTTTTGGCCCACTGCTCAGTGTTAGGGTGTGAGATAACAGGTCACAATAATCCTAATCCTCATCTCGTCAATTTCTCTAATCAAAAGGGAGAAATATCCATCTCAAGCATACCCAAAGAGAACAATCAGGATGCTCTTGTACAGACATTAAATAAAAAACAAGTCAACCCAGAAAAAGAATACATCAACCTTTTGACTGCCATAAATCTAAAACACGGGCATATTTTATAGGTTTTACCTTTTTCTTCCTGTACATAACTCAGGAGTTCTCAACCAGAGGTGATTTTTTTTATCCCCGCAGGAGACATGTGACAACATCTGAAGACATTTGCGGTTGTCACAACTGGGGTCAGAGGTAACAGCTGACATCCATCAGGTAGAAGCCAGGGATGCTGCTGAACATCCTTTAACACACACAAGAGCCCCCATAACACAGAATTATCCAACCCAAAATGTCAATAATGTCATGGTCCAGTGAAGTCTTGCCTCCATGTTGACCTAAGCCAGTTTTCCAATATAAATGACTATGTCATGCAAGAGATATAGTCACTCTCACCTTCTTAGGATGAGGGATTCAAAGGAACATGAGACGGAAACCCCACGAGGATGAAAGCTCCAGCATGGGGAATACGGTCCATGGTATTCTAGCCTTGTAAGGTGACCGACTGTCGCTACATCTGTGGTGAGCGCACAACGTATAGAGATGTGAAATCACTATGTTGTACACTCAGAACTAAGATAACAATGTCAACTATACTTCAATTAAAAAAAATAAATACAAAGAGATAAAAAAAAAAAAAGGAACATGTTGAGGTGCTTTTCCCCTGGACGCTCACAAGAATATTTTCTTCTACATGGTATTAAAGCCATTCCACTAACCAAACAGCTGCCTCTTGCCTCTCCAAGAGTAAAACACAGCCCTAGGGCATGATGTCTTTATCATTCTAAAGGTCAGGAAGACCTTGGTGACCTCTTTGGTGATCTCTTTGAAAGGAAACAAATATATGCTTCGTAACAACAAGTATATTTAGCGGCTTCATAAACCTAACAGAACAGTCAAAAATAATACTTTAAATCTACTATCTATTTACATTTAAGCACTCTCTGAAAACAAAAGTAAGGGTTGGGTTGGCTTTCAGCTGATAACTATGTCATTTTAAGACTTCTGGCAACACTAGGATCCTTCTAACCACAGTTGAATGACTTAATTTATCTTACATTTTTAAATTTTGGTCAAGAGTAGGTATTAAGCATTTTGTAACTGTTTTGGGAATTTGAAAGGTTATTAAGTTCTGAATAACAAGAGTCTCTCATGTTTTCCCACCAAACTTTTCCCAGCAGTGAGTATATCTGGATCTTATTCTGGTTTTTTATTCTTTTTTTAGCTTCCTGAAATGACTCATGTTCAAACACGGCGACCCTGGTTGATGTTTCTCCTGCAGAACTTTGGATTGACCCTAGGTTGGCTTTCTCTCTTACTGTTGGCTATATATGAACAAAATATTAAAATATAAGTTAAAGAGTCTCAAAATCCTTCAAAAGCAAATTTATACGGCCTAATTTTGTTTCTTTTGTTGTACTCTAGAGTGGCTGGTAAATCAAGCATTTTTATCTTCGAGGAAGGGTGTGTGTCATTTAGTTCATTAACTTATTAATTCGATGATGCACTTTTGTTTTAGGATATAAATGTCCGATTGTCCTCAATTAACATTTTGGTATCAGTACCATGATGGAACTCCTATTTTTTTGAGTAATTAAGAATTTCTAAATTAATGCTGGTAAACTTTCAAACAATATTGTTTTGCTAACAAAGAATGTAGTGTTTGAAGTGGACAGACGCCTGCTGGGATCAAATCGGCGGCAACTTCTTTGATGTCAATAATATTTTTCTTCTTGTAAGATGATAAACCATAAGCAAAATAAATGACAAATAACTGTAATAAAGTCTCGTGTTAATGTGATGATTTGTATGACCCTCTCTTATTGGGTGTCATTTCTGAGTCAATTCTTGCAAAACCGGTATAACATAGTTCACCTGGAAGCATTACCCACTGGCTCATAAATGCTTATAAATCAGCAAATTCAGGAAGCCTAAAGGATAATAGATCAGCATTCTTTCTAACCACCAAATGAAATCTGTTCTAGGTAAGGAGAAATGGGAACAAAAAGGGAAGTTAAGAATATTTTTTAAGTCATAAAGCTAGAGTCAGGCAGTAGATCAATGCATAAACTCTCACAAATTCCACAGCCTATGGATATAATATTACTGATGATGCGATATAGTTTATATTTTCTTGAGTAAACCTAAATGTTATTTCAGTAGGTAAGTTCGTGAAATGTGCAAGCTGCATTACTGATAACCCAGCAAAATTATTAAAATAGAAAATATCCCTGGCTTTAGTTATTTTTCTTGGAAAATAGAGGCCTAATATTTTTCTTATTTTCTTAATGATATATCTTGACAAGGGAAAAAGCCCACTTCACTGCCAAAATTACTCATGGCACTCGATCAAATACGTCTCTTCTGCTTCTTTCTTACCAGTACATGGATACTCTTTGCCACGTCCCACCCAACCACCATCTTTTTCAACCACCTTTATTTGATTTCAAAATGAGGCTGGTTTCTTCTTCAGTGGTCTTTAGAGCTTGATTTAAGGGGGCCTCATGATAAAGTGCAGTAGTTCACAGATGTTGGCCTACATTAGGATCAACTGGAGGATTTATTCAAACACAGAATGTTCGTCTCCGTACGGAGAGTTTCTGATTCTGAAGGTCTGGGTAGGGTTTGAGACTTTGATTTTGAACGACCTCCGGGTGACACCGATGCTGCTGGTCGGAGGAGGGGGTCCCCCTTTGAGCTCCACTGGTGTGGTAGAAGTCAGGCACACCTGGCTTCAAGAAAGAGCAGGTGCATGACCCTGTTGCCCAAATGCTGTGTGATTCTAATTAAGTTGATTAACACTGCAAACCTCATGCCAGACCAGCGTTCCTAGGTTGCAACTCCTTTCCCTTTGCGTCCTTGCCTTGGAGCATCGGATCAGTTACAGGAGTCACCGGATGAGGAGTCCACAGGGAGGCACTTTTATTTAGATTTGCCTTGAAGGTAAGCAGACCTGACATCAAGTTTTGCCCTTTTTTTGTTAAAGAACCTAGTAATTTGGAGCTGAACAAAAACACCTTTGTACAGGTCACCACTGCGTGGAGGTTGCATACAAGAAGCACCTGGCACCATCTGTGTTTTGGTTTCTATGACCAAGGTCTGATGTTGACATTAAGCCTTAATTTATGCCAATTTAATTAGGAAAGCTCTGATGGATGACTTTATTCAAAATTCATGTTTAGAGTAGTTTGGGGCGAACTAAATTAAAATGTTCGATGTGAGCCACTCCATAACCTTCAAGTTAGAGTGAGTTTCGTCTGACCTCTAGGATGAGGTTGTGGGCATGGGGTGGAGGGGCTTGAAGGGAGCCACGTGTTGGAATGAGTGGAGGGACATCCCCAGTAAGCATTTTGCAAGCCTACAACTAGTGCCCTGATTGTAAGCCATCAGTCCTGGCCATAGAGGTCACCTGTAGGATAACCCTAAGAATGGTGTGATGTAATGGCTTCTGAGGGCACATTTCTAGGCTCACCACTCCTTGCTTCTGCTACCTTAGCTGGCTCTTTGCTAATCCACTGAGTAACCCAACAGCCTGAGATGGACCTCCAGCCACAAACAATCTTAGAATTGCTAGAAATTCTTTTTCCTCAAAGTTGAGTGGTAATGATAAAACTATTATGACAATTATTTGCCTTCTAAATATGGACAGAGCCTAAATTTGGCGTGGCTGAACTTCGTCATCCCGGTAAGTCGTCTAAACCATGTGTTACTCACAAGATTTGTTGTAATTGGTGTTTTCCTTGAAGCCAGATTTCTCAATAATGTTAGAGTATTTCTGTTTGTCAGGCCTAAATTTAGGATTCCACTGTATTTCTCCTTGGTGACTGATTTGTTTTGTAGTCACTGAGCTAGAAATGGCCCACGAGCAAAATCAAAGAGCCAATCACACAGAAATCTTACTTGGACAGCCATCACCCACTGGCAGCCATATTTAGGGGAAGGGGAATTGGCACCATGTCGCTGTGATGCTAAGTGTGGGGCCAGGAAAGATGGGTCCAGTGCTGTGTACTTACCAGGATGAGCGTGTTCTATGTATGTGCCTATAAATTGTGGCCAATACCATTCCTCCCAGAACCCACACTTTGGGGGTGAGACTGTGCCTCTTTCTGTAAGACACACCCGTCAGGACACTGTACATTTACCCTTTCCTTTTTCCTTCAAAGCTGGAGGGGAAGGGTTGTATCACGAGGCTGCTCATCAGTAGGGTCGACTGGACTAATCAGGTTGGGACTCCGGTGTGATCATTAAAAAATCAGGCTTTACACTGGAATCTTGGTTCAAATCCCAGTGCTGCCATTTAATAACCTTATAACTTCCTGGAACAACTATCTCTTCTCATGTAAGATAAGGCTAAAAGTAGAACCTAACTCATAGGATGGTGGTGAGTTTCATATGAGATACTTACTGCTCATGAAGCACTTAGCACAATGCCTGGAAAACAGAAATGGCTCCATAAAAATGAAATTACCATCAGTACCGCCTTTGTTGTCAGTTTCACAGTTCACCTCTCCGAGCTGTACTTTGGGTGAAAGAAATGTCTTATCTTGGTGAAGAATGGAGATCCAGGCTTTTTATGTAATGTCTGCAATCCTCTAGTGATGCCTCCAAGTCAGTCCCCACCAATCCTTCAAAGCTGCCCGCGGGTTGTTTCACCTTTACTCACTTCCGGAGCCAGAGAACTGGGTCTCCCTCCGGTCGGCCCCACTCTGCCCATCTCCCTGGGAAGGCTTCGTCCACGTGTCATAATGCTTGCACTCAGTGTGAGCCCCTCTCTCTCTTACTCTTTATCTCTCGTAAAAAAAAGTAAAACCTATTATATTCTACCACCCCCCGCCCCAAAGGATGTGGAGGTTGAATCATGGAGCCTGATGGCGAGAAACTTGTCTGAGGTCATGGTTACTGTTACAACTCAATTTCAACTCAGGGAGAGCAAAAAGTAGTTCAACAGATCACCCCTGTTGCCAGTGGACCTGTTGAGGGAATGAAACCAGCCCTAAAAAGAGTCCAGCCCCATCAGCGTAAGCGGGACGTCTGGCCACTAGAGGCCTGCCCCGTCTATACAGCCAGATGCCCTCTGGCTGGCAGCACACACAACCTGCACTGGACCCCGAGGGCACCATGGGGCGTGGTGCTCCATCTCCCCCAGACGCTGCACATACCCTCAGTGCCATAACTCCCCTCAGTGTTGGGGAATGAGGCCCACATTCTCATAATTTTGCTTACATAGGCAAAACCCAACTGAAACCGTAGGGAGTTTGAGAAACTAAAGAGACATTCCCAAATCCAAAGTGATCTTACCCCATACCCATTGCTTCTTTGAAGGGCCTACCTATGAAATGTATTTGCACAACCAGACTGCACCTACCCACCCACCCGCCCTGCTCCTGCTGCAATAACCACATCTCAGATGTGGATATTTGTCATATAGACCTTCCCCTTGCACATTCCTCAAGGCCCCACCCCCAAAACACACACTCCTTAACCTGCTTTGCAAAGCCTCTTGTTTCTCAGAAGTTTCTCTTTCATTATATAACACTCTCCACATCCCTAATCATACTGAACAACATCAAAAAATTTCCCTCTTCCTCTGCCCGCCGAAAAAGATGCTTTGTCCAGCTGCCACCCACCTGGGCTCCCACTGATTCCCATCTGTACTCTTAGCTTCACTCAAAATTTTGGAAAGTATGTAGGACTTCTGTTTTCTGGGTTAGCTTGTCTCCTTGACTCAGCATTCCCTCAAATATCAAGCAACGAAGAGTGCCCACAGACTCAGCCCGCAGGGTCACATAATGCTGGTGCCGGAACCGAAGTCAAATGTTTAATTCAACTCTTTGATTTTATAGTGGTGTCATAATGGCAAACATATTTATAGCACTGTGTATATGTATAGCACAGACACTGTTCAAAGTGCTTTATGAGAGTCATGGAATTCTCTTAAGAACCCTGAGAATGTAGGCCTAATACTATTTTCATGCCCCCTGTTACAGATGAACAAACTGAGGCCCAGAGAGGTCAGTTAACTTGCCCACCCTTACAGATCTAAAGTAGCCTGGCTCCAGAATCTGTCATCTTAATCCCTACATCACATGGCCTCTACAGAGGGGAAACTGAGGTTTGCAGAGTCTGAATGATTGCCTGAGCTCTTATCTCTCTGTAAAGGAGTTGGCGTAGGACTTAATTCAGATCTGTGAGTCTAGTCCAGCCACCTTAACAATCCCCAGCCCTCCCTTGTCCTGCCCAGTCAAACTCTTCACCGGCAAGACCTTAGTCATTTGAGGTTGCCTTTACTACCTAATTCGTGTTCATTTCTCCCCATGAGGATTTAGAGTCTAAGCAGCAAGGGTTTTTTTTTAA